CTGGTCCAAGTGGCTCGGGAGAGGGAGGTCTGGGTCTCTCTTCTTAGGCTGCTGCCCCCGAGACCTGACCCCAGATAAGCGGCAGAAAACGGACGGGCATTCATTCATGCTTTGAACGTAGTTCTTCTGTAGTAATATGCTGGTATTATTGTTGCATGTWAGCATGAAGGAGTTCTCTGGAACAGATGTTTCTTAGAGACAAACTGTCCCAGCTTTCATTAATCTGTCTTGTCCTGCAGGTCTGTTTCAGTCAACATTTCTGTCACATGATTTTCCATTTTTAAAGGAATTTTACTCAAGTCCTGTGATGATCAAACTGTTGGATTTGAATCTAAATCTAAATGTCATTAGAGCCATGCAGTGTTAATATCACAGTTAGAGCTGTGTTCACCAGTCTGTTTGATTTCTGTGGTTCTGCAGGTTCTTCTACTTGTACCACTTTGCCTTTTATGCGTACCACTACCGCTTCAATGGTCAGTACAGCAGTCTGGCTCTGGTCACATCCTGGCTCTTCGTTCAGGTCAGAATCATTGTTTTAYCTGTATTAAGCTCCGCCCCTCCTGTTGGACCTGATGGGTGGTTTGGATAATGCCTCTTGTTTCTTTGCAGCACTCCATGATTTACTTCTTCCACCACTACGAGCTTCCTGCCATCCTGCAGCAGATCCGCATCCAGGAGATGCTGCTGCAGAACCAGCAGGCGGGTCAGAACCAGACGGCCCTGCAGGACAACCTGAACAACAACAACAGTGCTACTGCTAATCCAGGACCTACTGCTGCCGGCCAATCAGCAGCTGCCAGCACAGACGCACCAGCACCGCAGGCCCCACCCCTTCCATCATCGTCGGCAGGAGGAGCCGGGGAGGAGAGGGCGGAGCTTAACTGGGTCGCTCAGACGGCTGCCATCATCACCGAGGCTCTGAGCTCCTCTGTGGATCCGGGAAGAGCTGGAGGTCAGGGGCCGGATGGAGGTCAGGGGCCAGCTGGAGGTCAGGGGCCGGGGCCGGATGGAGGTCAAGGGCCAGCTGGAGGTCAGGGGCCAGGGCCGGATGGAGGTCAAGGGCCAGCTGGAGGTCAGGGGCCAGGGCCGGATGGAGGTCAAGGGCCAGCTGGAGGTCAGGGGCCGGCCGGAGGTCAGGGGCCAGCTGGAGCAGAGGTGAACATGGAGCTCTGTGTGGGAGGCGCCGCAGGAGAAGTTCTGAATGAAGCGGCTGGAGGTGGACCCAAGACTCAGCTCACACTCGCCAAGGAGRCGAAGCCCCCGGGCGAGGTGGAGCTGAACCAGGCGGGGCTTCTCAAAAAGGCGGAGCTATGTGAGGAGGCGGAGCTCTCAGACACATCTGCCCCTGACACGGAAAGCCCCGCCCCCCAGAGAGCCCATACAGACTGTGAGTGCAGAACCCACCTGAGCTCATCCTGAACATCCAGCTGTGCTCCTGATGACATCATCATCTCCCATGATGCAGTGCTTCAGTTTATCAACTAATCCTTCTGATTCATTCGGTTTTACTAAGCAGGTGTTTCCTCACCTGAGTGGTCACTGCAGCAGGTTCTGTTTGGCTCTGACCCAACAGAGCCTAAACTCAGCTCCAAACCGAGCCAGAACCAAACTCTGTCATTGATCAGTCCAGTAGTTCTTTTGATGCCAACAGTTACGTGATTGGATTAATAACTTCACCAATAACTGATCAGCACCTGACCAGTGATGATCAAAAACATTTTATTTTTATAGGAAACAGGAAGGAAAGCTTGTTGTCATCAATCAGCTGATGGATCAAYGATTCTGAACCAGGAACTATTGATCTGAGTTCAGGCTGATCAATAAAGTGACTGATGGATGGACTCAAACCCACGAGGAGTGATTAGTTTGATTATTGATCCATGATCGGCTCTGATTCTCACAGACTGAAGCACAACCTAAACTCTTTCCACATGCTTTTATTTTGAAGGGAACAGGAAAGGGAGCTCAGACAGATCAGTCCGTTTCATCCATTGCCTTATCAACAACTCTCAGACTGGGTGTGCAATATGACACAGTTTAAGCCCCGCCTCCTTAAGGGGAAAGTCTTGTCTCATGRTGCGTTCAGGGACAGTTTGAAAAACAATGATTGGTGTCAGAAATAATTACATGATCATAATGTGTCTGCATCACCTGCAGGAACACTTACCTGTTTATGGGAGCAGAGAGGTCAAAGGTCACCTGCTGGTCTGTGTCAATGCCTGATCTATCCTTCATCAAACACTATGAAGGAGGCGGAGCCTCACTGTGAGCATCAGACATCACCTGGGAGCGGGCTTTCGACATATTCTGGGATGTTTCTTCTTTGTGCCTCTTCTCTAGATGACTGTAGCTCTTCAGAGTGTAGTTAAAACCAGAATAGACATTTCACCTGCAGAACAGGTGAGGTACCGCCTCCTACAGGTGTTACACCTGCAGAACAGGTGAGGTACCGCCTCCTACAGGTGTTACACCTGCAGAACAGGTGAGGTACCGCCTCCTACAGGTGTTTGACCTGCAGAACAGGTGAGGTACCGCCTCCTACAGGTGTTACACCTGCAGAACAGGTGAGGTACTGCCTTCTACAGGTGTTTGACCTGCAG